TCGCTCAAGCAATTTCAACAGCCAAATCGCCAATTCTTGTGGTGGTGAATTAGTCAGTTAGTATTGGTCGAAAAGGCACTCCGGGTAATAATTGAAGTCCTTTTGGTATAAGATGATGAGCTGTGCTTTCATTGATGAAGTATCTTTCTAGTAGAAACTGTACTTCTGTCGTTATCCGTTGTTCTAGTTGTTCAGGGTCATCAAAGTTATCTTCGCGCAGAAAATTTACTGGGGTTGTCAAGAACACTTTCCATTTTCTTCTGATAATCGTTCCGATCCATCAGCACGGCTCCGGACCCATCGTCAGGGCGTAAAATTAACAAATCGGGTCGCAAATGTAGCTTTATAATGGTGGATATACGCTCAGGTGTGAGGAGTGACTTATGTTTGGACGATGTCATCCGGTACTGTCTTTCCAAGTCAACCAGGTTTGCTCTGAACGAAATCTCCGCATCCTTTGGAGATTGTTTGACTATTTTTAGTTGTTCGAATAGATATTCGAATTGCGCCTGTGTCTCTATGCTGTTTATTTTACTCGGTGGTATGCAGAAACGTAGACCACGGGAAAGAGCCTGTAATAGAAGTTCATTCAGTGCAACCGACAATAAATTCTCCACAAACTTTTCTGGTCGTTTCGGAAAATTCATTTCAGCTAACTTGTGAACGATGGATTTCTGAAGCTTGGTGAATGCACAAAGTTTGGCTTTTCGGATGTTCTTCATACAGAAGTTGGCCAATTCAATTCGACGAACGAGGTTTAGTTCGTCAATAATTATTGATCTTTCGATTCACGTTGTTCGAAGTGTCGTAAGATTTTCTTTATAATCATCAATTTGAAATTGCACCAAACCTCTCATATTACTGGTAGAGGCGCAAATCTTATTCCTCCGTAAGCGTTTACAAAACGTAGTCGGGTATCTGTTGCAACGGACACACTGTTCCAGAAAGTTAATACGGACTCGAATCGTGGTATTTTTGCATCCTAATCTGACTAGGTCATCGAGGGAGCTAATGGTTGATTTTGAGATACTCGAGTTGAAGAAATTGGAACATGCTTTTCCCGAAACAATCTTGAAAAGAAAATCCAGAGTTGAAACATGGCACGATTTATGTCCGGGACGATTTCGCTGCTGAGGTAGCTCTTTGGTAATGTGTCTTTAACATGGTGATGTAAATTGACTATTGTAATTTCCCCTATATTTGTCGAACATTATGGTTTTAGATGAACATATATGAACAGTACCGTTCTGTAGTATGCATCATGTTGAGACGCAGCGAAATCGTCCCAGACATAAATCGTGCTATGTTGCAACTCTGGCTTTTCTTTTCAAAACTTTACGATTGCGTTCAAACCTGCCCATTGGAGGGTAATTGTAGGAACTGAACTTCGAAGTTGTGCATAAATTTACGTGCCTTATAGAGAATACTAAACAGACGTAGTTTTGCGTGACTTTATTTACGAACCTCGCATGAAAACAAGCACGTAGCATTATCCTAAAAAGTTAGTACTTACCCGGGTAACTTATTTTCGTTGAATTAGCGGAGCTTCTCACTCAGAACAGCGAAAGTTTCCCCAACACTAGAAGAGTCTCTAAGTGAAATCCACCAACAAGGCTAAACATGTTTTATTCTGATCCAAATCAGCTATGTTGATCTTTATGATACATCAACATTCGGTGGCATAATTTTTCGGAGGGAATTCCAATGCCAAATGACATTTCTTTGAACCTTCTACGGCTCATCATAAAACAAACACTCATACGAGGAACAAACCCATCACCAAAATGACAGCCCTCGTGATTTGAGTCCCCTGATGAAATAATACGTGCCCCCACTTGATGGGCTCGCAGTGCAGTGTTCATATCCCGTATTACTAGCCGCGTCAAAACTCGCAGCTGTCTTATGTCTAACTGAGAGTGAGTGAGCCTGGGAATATTCACACGCTGGATTAAGGACAGGGAGTTCCGGCTCTGTTTTTGATCTCAATGCACATAAAATCGTCCTACTCATTAGATTTGCTAGTTATTCTACCTATGAAGTGTGTGCTTTGGTTAGTTGTTCTGTGATTCATACGATTACTGGCAGTCCTGTTCGCGTTAAAACACTGAGAAATGTGCGGCAAAGAAGATTTAGAATTATGGGCCTCGGTAATTCCACCTTGATCCCCTTTATCGAGGTGCCGAGAAAGTTCAGTTTCATTGGATCTTTCAATCGCCATGGCGATAAAAATATGAACGATTAACGAAGCACGGCCAAATGAACTTGATTTCAACTCTCATATTGATGCAAACTGGAATTTCCTTTTTTCAGTTAGTTTGGTAGTTATCGGTAATAAGCAAATTTAAATCACATGTACTGTGACATTTCCGAATAATGAAAGAATTTCTACTAATCTTATGATTTAAGCACAACCATGAAAAATTTGTTGGCCGAAAAAACGGATTCCGTCAAAATATTCGGGTAGTTAACTTATGTAAATATGACCTAGGGCAATTTATGTAGTCCTGTTGACCAGTTTATTTATATTTTCGTACCTTGTTTATTTTTGTTTTTACTTTACTCACAGCGTTTTGGCCTGGCAACCAAGGCCATGTACATTCAACCACTCATGGCGCAGCAAAGAACTGACCAAAGTGAGAGGAAAATTTGAATGAATTATTATCGTTACTCGATGGCCCCATATACCTTGATTAGTTAACGAAGCTCGAACAGTATACTGAGTAAATTTTCGCACTAGCTGTAGATATATATAGTATTCATCAGTAGGCAAGGTCTAAATTAGAAAAAACGAAGTGTTCGGCACAGTTGGGACGGTGTTAACGTGTCCGATCTTAGGCCACGCTAACTTCCGTTAACTAACATGTAAAACTCTATCCATCCGAGAGTGTCAGACGCCAACGTCACCTTTATTTTCCTTTAAAGGGTCTAGGATTTTCTCCAGTGTTTTTCCAGTTGCGTCTTGTTAAGCTAAACTCCGAATCTTGTTCGGTCCAAACAGAATGATCCCGGAAGCCTTACTCGTTTGTTTCATGTGATTTCAAATGATAGGTTGCCTGAAAATTCGCTCCTTTTCGAACGAGGGGCAAGGATTCCGAATCTTTTTTCCACTGATTTCTATAAACTGGATACATTGTTACTCAGTGCTTCCAGTTACCGCGACCATGGCTGAACTCGACCAATCTGGGCACTGATAAAACGAAATTTCATGATGTTTAACTCTGATAGTTTTGTATGCGTTTTATCGTTCTAATCCCCCATAAGCAGATAATTTTTACCAGCTGGAGTGGGTGGTTGAATTCACCTAAAGGGGATTGCTCCACTGTGAGAAGAAGGTTGTTGGGAAAAAATCTGGTCTACTGAGGCAGATCAGGACCATCTGTCAGCGGTCATGGCGTATAGGACGATTACAGAAGAAATCCGCTCCGTCACACTTTTCAAATTTCTAATAAAGTGAGACTGCTTATGTATAGGATGATTTATGTGATTCAAAAAGCGAACATGGCACAATGTAGCATATGGCTTAGTTCCGATGCAACCCACGATCACAGACCGCCAGCTCAGCAGATCACTGACTAACTTAACTGGTTCACATCCGAGATACAGTTTCAAGTGTCGCATGGTGAGGACTGATTTGGACCAAAACTTCTGTTTATTTAATTGTGTCTAGAAGACGACAGGCCTTTCTCAGACTACCTGTCTCTCTTACAAATCACCATCGTTGGCAATTGCCTAGTTTGGGAAGATCAACCCGACCAAGTATATGCTGTCCAAGGTTTAGAGCTGGGTGAGCTGATAATCTGCCTTATGAGTTCACATGATTTCATTGATTAGTGATTCGCGCACTGGAGTTCATTTTTGATGACAGCTGACAACAGAACTACCCAGGTTCTTGAAGTTATGAGCTTATCACGAAATCGATTTTTCTTCGGACAGTATTGGTGGGTAGAAATTTTAGTGGTCGAAGACATGCTAAGGCTTGACCAATATATTACTGACCAACAGCTGCGTCAATTAGAGCTGTGTTGTTTTTCGTCCGAGTAGGGAGCGTGTGAATTCGAAAACTGGCGCAAGCGGACGGAATCAACCTGGCACTGATACATGTCCGTCTATGAGCCTGGACTCTTCCAAGAAAAGCATCCACTCACACCCCCTGATTCACAAATTATATTGCTGTGCAAAATATGATTGCATGGTGTGAGGACGCCAAATTTGGCCACGTGATAGGGCGCGCATTGCATAGTGCGGACAAAACTCTGAGGGCACCCAGGGGAGCTCGAATTTCGCAACTTACTACTCAAAAGCTTGGTAGTAAGCTAAATAAAGCAAGTACAACAAAGTAAACGATTAAGTCAGCCAGAAAAGTGCATGGTAATACTGGATGACAGAGGAATAAATTAGCGGACTTGACTAATATTTAACGTAGATTAAAGGCTCTAGGCTCCACACTAACCCTAAACGATGAGCTCACAAGTGACATGTTCTTTCCAAGTATGTGGGGTGCTAATGAAGGTGAAGTGTGATGAAGTCAGTGGTTCAAACGGGTTGTAACCAAGGACGCAAAATGAATTCGGTTTCATTTCACCAACAGCGGTATCATGTCTACATGATCTCTTTTCGTGAAAATATCCTGGGCTATGCTAAGGTGGCATCCATGATATCAGTTCATGCTCACTGCTTCGAAGGTATTTGAAAAATTCCAAAATCAATCACTTTGACTGAAGTAGGTACCAGTGAAGATGCAGCGAAATGCTCCGGAATATATCATGCAATTTGATACTCTTGACTTGTATGCTCAAAGACTTCCATTGCGCCGAAGTTTCTGAGATAAGAACAACTGGCACGGTCAGCTTTACTATCGTCACTTAAGTGTCCATTGAATGTCATTATGTGTTATGCGTCAAATTGGGTACTTATCCGTTTACAGTACTGATATCAAACGCACTCTAAGTTTAATACTCTTCCGGGAGGATTATTGTAAACTGTCAACGGGATTCACTTACCAATCTGAGTGGCCGCTGTTATCAAAGCCCTAAATAGAGTACTGTGACTGAACGGCTCTCCAGTGATTGGATGACTCGTGGAACACGAACCCGAAACCAGTAGTCGTATAAGGCGAGTAGGTAATATACTCCTTAAACGTATATGCATGCGTGTGTAGGCAGACAGCACCAAGGTCATGATTTATCGTCTGGTTTGTGACCAGGGCATAAAATCACCACAGCTTCGACACATTATGAACGGACTGAGTAGCATAATTTAGATGGAGATATGAATAAAGCGAGCACAATACACTTACCCAGTGAAAGCAACTTTTTCGCGCGAGCCTGTACACGTAGGTTATATATTGGGCATCGATAGATTATAAATATCAGACTAACATATCATCCGGTAGTCTCTATCCGCCGCTTATATTCAGTAAGATAACCTACTGAACACTTCGATTACAAGCACATTCATGCAAAATCAGTGTTTGTGTGCACAGTCTCTCGACTCAGCGTCCGTGCAAGTGTCACACGAATATCTGCACACACCCTTAGCGAATGTCCCTCCAACGCCAAAAGCGAAATACATGAATTCATAAGTATTTTTCACAACACTAAATAGTTCATTAGAGATGTTCGGTGTATTCGAGGAGTGTTATAACATTACTTGTTTTCCAGTTTGGTTCAACTTTATCATTTGCATTCAATAACAACTTTCATAGTGGTCTGCATTCTTCATTCAAAGAAAGAGACGGAACCGCTACACGATCAGGAAACCTTCCAAAGAGTGTTTGGTATACTTTTTGTCGTATTCGTCTTCTTATTTGATACTTAGTTGTATCGCTCTAAACGATCAACAAGATCGGAGATCCTCTCAAACAAAAAACTAGGCAACATATTGACAAATTTAAAGGGACTGGAGATGAGTGACAAGGACTGTACAAATAAATGACCTAGCACTTGGCAAATATCTGGATATAGTCGACAGAGTGGAGATATGGATGTGCATCATGACGTAGGATATTACTCCAGGGCTCTTTGCAGGAGCATGAAAACTCGACAACTAACTAAACAAAAAAGCGAGAGCATATCCCCTCATAAATCACTGCTATGATGATCACAAAATGTCTAAAAAATGGAGGGTAATTAATGATACACCGTTATTGTCATCTTAGGCTCGTATCGGTTTCGATGACCTTCCCATCAGGAGTCAATTACTCAACAAGTTTATGTTGAAGACCTGACTATTATGCATAGTTCCAGTAACCAGAAATTCAAACTCCAAAGTCATCGGGTTGAACGAAGAGTGGGTATACCATTGATTTAAGCCCTTTTGCTCTGTCCGTTTGTCACTGTTCAGTTGAATTCTGACCAGCACCGTCCGTAATTATCAAGTCATTTTTCACCTCTCTGACGAATTTCTAACCTCGCACACATCGGCTGCGCCATCCATCTTTTGGCCTGAGTAGAAGAGACACTTAGACTTAGAATGGGATAGTATGCAGCGTTATCATCAAGATCATCAGATATTTCATTAAATAGCCTTCGTATTCGGAATTTTCTAATATTTCGCTGGTTGTGTCACCTCAGACGACGATCAGCCAGACGTTTACGACCAAGCGTCCATATCAACCGCCGGCATCCTATCAAAACCATAAACATAAGCCACGAATATCGTTAATATTCAAAATGAATGAAAAAAGTTCGCGAACCTTGTATTCAATGTGGAAATCGAGATTGATGGTGCTCGATTTTGCCGTCAGCTACACGATATTACACGGCTTGATAGTGAATTCGATACTCGTATACACTGCTGGTATTAGTTCACCAACGACATAAGGAAGCCTACTGACTAACGTTGGTCTGACCCTGGACAAAGGGTTCTTGTACATCATGCAACAAAAGACGCTAGTTTTGCCAACAGCAAGGATCAAAATCGATGATGCAAGACTATACTGTTTCAGCATTCACATTGAGGCGGACCTTTCTGTTGATCTCATGATAGATATCGAGCTGGTGGAGATCATGGTCGTGGTGTGGGTGTTGGTAGCGATCGAACTTTTCTACTCGGCCGTGGTCAACCGGTTATCACCGTGGACTTCGGACAGTGGACGACCCGGGTGGCTCGATTCCCGCCACCACCGATCACTTTCCCGACTGCAAGCCTTTTATTGGCCGCGGCCCCCTTCCTGAATTGTTGTGCATTGTTTGATAAAAAAAAAATTAAAAAAGAGGTAAAAAGAGTATTTATTATATTTATATTTACTCATTTCTATGTGTTTGACTAGCCCAGCCCCTCCTGTAAAGAAAAAACGACTCCTTTTGTTAGCCTTTTCTTTATTCCACTACGAATTTCTTTCCACCTAGCTGCTTGAAACCTGTCTAGGTTTTTGCGCTTGGGTTGGTTGACTTCGAATCCCGACCACTAGTAGACGCACGGTCAATAAACTTTATTAGTCGGAGAACGGTACTGTAATTGGTAAGCGTTATTAAATAAACGGAAAAAAGGTATAACCAAATGTCTCCAATTCCGGAATATGCACATTGTGACATCAGAACACGTTTTCAGAGACAAACAATTGCTTTCAATGATTCATTCTCAAGTCTTTACAAATCATATAGGAGATGGTTGTGCTGAAATGGTCAAGGGTCATTCGGATTGGACGTAGTCTCCAAGTCGCTGAGTAATGTACAGGTCAAACCGTCTGCATGGAACAGTTTGTCATATGGTTATGCGAATGGTGAACAGATTCGTGTACAACGGGATGCACGAAGCTGATTGGTTGGCGTAGTCAATTCAAGGTCTGCTCATCTGTGTCTGTCTTTGGGTGTGTGTGCGTGTGTAGTCATAGGACGAACGCCAGGTCACCCTGGAGTGGGTTCATGTATGTGTGTCACCGCATCACTGCAGGCCGAGAGAACAACTTGTAGACACGAGCGTGTGTGTGTGTATGTGTGTGTGTGTGTGTGTATGTGTGTGTAAGTCAAAGTCCGGCAGAAGCTGTCCGTGGAGTGAACCGGTGGATGTTTGTGTGCGTGAACATGCGTCAATGATCACGGAGCAGAAATCGATGATCGTGCATGTACACGTGACAGTGTGTGAGACCAATACATCATGGAAGAAGTGCCATGTGTGAATGTGCGTGAGTGTATGTACGTTTAAATGACCCAGTCACATCTGCGTGCATGATGCACTGTCTGCCCCAAATGTGTTGTGGCTAAACCAGGCGGGGAAGCTGGATCGGACGATGTTGCTATCGCCGCATTGTTGATGACAGACAGCTGTGGAACGTACACCCCCGTTTGAAGCAACCTTAAATAGGCCAGCTTCAACACAGTATTATCCAAAGGATCCCAACCCGAACCATCTGAAAGTCCCAAATAATTATGGTAGACGGCAAAGAGACGACCTCAACCCCTTCCGCTACCCCATCCGCATGTGAGCACACCCGTTCTCTGCACAGCTTGTTTGGCTTGAATCACTGAATCAATGAAGGCAATACAATGCATGAAATGTTCTGAAACTCACCTTGGCTACTTTTGAACTAAACTGCTTACAGCGACCAAATTTGACTTACTAATTTGTCATCCTACTACAGTACCTAAAATAAAAACGAATTCTAAGCATGGAACAGATAAACCCATGCATCCCGGATAAATGCCTGAGGTTGTCAAATGCGACTGATGGTAAAAACATTGAACTGGTTTGCAAATGCAAAGTCCTTCATTGGTATTAACATATTTTCGATACTTAGGGATGCATAGAAAACACGAATAGCGAACAAGCTCGTTTTCGGTAACATCATCCTCGTGGCTAATACAGTTACATTTATAGGTTAGAAATGCATAAATTATGAACAACGTCTGTGTGCTAAAGTTTGATTGGATGGTCATCAAAGTTGGTGTTGCGTAGTTAGGAAGGATAGGAGAGGAAATGTTGTTGTTTCGTGGTTGGGAACGGGGCCGGTCTCAGGTCGCGGCCAGGGTAGTTTGAGTGCCTTAACGAAACGTTTCTGAGAACAAAGCGATGGATTGAATAATCTGATTGCCACAGCCTCTGCCGTTGCTAGATGTTGTTTTCGAGCGGCCTTCGGCGCTTTCGTAGGGACTCTGTGGACTATTTTGAACGCGTCGTCGTTTACGTGATGTACTGTGTCCGCAAGGTGCGTCACAATCGCGATGGTGATGGATTTTCTGTTTCCCGTCGACAGCCAAGTTGGTTTGTGCTCTTTGATCCTTTGTGATAGTTGCCGTGTCGTTCTACCTATATAGCTTGCCGAACATGAGCAAACAAACGAATAGGTTAGCATGGATGAGGTGAGGACAGGTAACTTGTCTTTTAGGTTCGTCGAGATCACTGATCTACTGGTGAAGTGGGCACGCAGTGTGGCAGCGGGAAAGGTGCGAGCGATTGCCTTTTCCAAGCGTCTTATTAGTGACTCGCTTTTGTCATCTCCTTTGAAAGGGAGATGAATGTATAAATCTTTCTTCGTCACGGTCACTAACGCTTGTCTCGTTTCCCTTTCTGCTATATTCTTCTGAACGAATTGCTCGGGATATCCTTTATCCAATAGCGTTTGCTTCAAAATGTATAATTCTTCACTCACCGTCTCATTGGAGCAAATCATTCGCACACGGGCTGCGAGTGAGCGAATAAGGTTACGTTTACATCCGATAGGTACAAAGCTGGCGAAATTGTACTGGCCTGTCCACTTTGGTTTGCGATATACACGACGGAGCAGTTTGCCATTGCCACCTCTTAAAAGAAGCACATCTAGAAAGTAGCAAGTGTTCCTTTCTTCTACTTCCGACGTAAAATCAACCGCATTATGTGCCTGGTTGAACTCCTCCACCAGACGTTGTTCATAATTTAAGCATTTCTAACCTATAAATGTAACTGTATTAGCCACGAGGATGATGTTACCGAAAACGAGCTTGTTCGGTATTCGTGTTTTCTATATATAATGAAATGGGATTATTCAGTGAACTTAGGGATGTGTTATTGATCAGTGTTTATGACACATGTGACTCGCAAACGAAATTCACTCAAACTATAATATCTGACTAGAAGTTGAGACCCCGTATCTATCAAAACAGGGGGATGGCGTGGGGTTCAAGGCTGTCTTAGCTGAAACAAGGAAAAATATTGATAAATAAAGACTTGGGCATGAGCATACGCCGGATTTCGAGAGAGAT